CTGATTCCTGGGTTTCCAAAGCAGTAAATCTTTATACTAGCGCCCTGGCGCGGCCGGCCACGGCTCCGGCGCTGGGTGGGAGAAGCGAAACTCTTCAGTGAAGACATAAATGTTATTAAAGAGCCTGTTTTAGGGACTGCACCCGGCCTCCTGTCGTCCTTCCTCCCGCTCTGGCCTCGGGCTCCCCGCGCCAGCTGCCGAAAGGGGAGTTGAGGGCTCCGCTGAGATGAACGGCTAGTCCCAGGAGCAGGGCTTGGAGTCTGTGGGGGTGAAAAGGGGATCTTAGTGGGGCTGGGAGGGTGTGGTCTGATCAGAGGCCTGGGGTCAAGAATGAGGGGTGTGGAGAATGGGAGAAAGACCAGAGGGGAGGGTTTATCCAGGACTGACGGAGAGGCCAAGTCATGGAAACCTTGAGTGACAGAATGAGGGTTTGAGCCTGGCTAGTAGAGAGTGGCACAGTGCTTAACAACTCTGTTGATAACTGAAAGGTGGGCAGTTGGAGCCACCAGCCACTCTGTGAGGATTCCAAAAACCAAACTCACCACCGTGGAGTCAATTTCAACTCAGCGACCCCTCCTTGGGTTTCTGAGGCGGTATCACTACAGAAGTAGATTGCCCAACCTTCCTTCCGAGGAGTGGCTAGTGGATTTGAACCTCCAGCCTTCTGATTAGCAATCAAATGCCTTAGGCACTCTGCCACCAGAGCTCCCCTGTAAAGATTACAGCCTTGGAAACTCTATGGGGCAATTCTACTCAGTCCTATAGGGTCACTATGAGTTGGAACAGACTAGATGGCAGTGTGTTTTGGAGTTTTGTTTGTTGTTGTGTTGTTAATGTGCTGTTGAGTCGGACCCCACTCGCAGCTCCCCCTCCTTGGGTTTCCAAGGCAATATCACTACAGAAGTAGATTGCCCAACCTTCCTTCCAAGGAGTGCCTGGTGGGTTTGAACTGCCAGCGTCTGGTTAGCAGTCAAGTGCCTTAGGCATTATGCTACCAGGGCTCCTAAAGAGATGGCCTGGTGTACCTGGCCGGGAGCGGCTGGTGGGTTTGAACCGCCAGCCTTGGGCTTGGCAGGCAACTGCCTTAGACCCGAGGTTTTGTTTAGGAGACAGTAATGGCATCCTTGGATGCCTGGCCCAGTCTGGCGGTGTGGACAGGACCCCCAGCCCATTGGTGCATTCTGCAGTGGGAGAGCCTGGGTTCCCAGCTTTGACCTACACTCAAACTTGGCAATGATCCACCCTATGCCTGCGTAAATGTTCTTTATGGCCTCCCTGCAGGCAGAGATCCAGCTGTGGCTCTCCTGTCCCCAAGCCCTGGAGACACCTCCTGGTGGGCACCCCAGCATCCTAGCCCTTAGGCAGTGCTACTATTGATGCTACTACTGACAAGAGTATTGTTCCTCTGGAACCTAGCCCATCCCCCCTCAATCCAAACTCTTAAACCCAACCAGGCCACTGTCACAGCTCCTGGTACCCAAAGGTTCCTGTTCCAATGAGCTGCTCAGACCTCAAAGCAACCCTAAACCTCCCAGTCTTGCAGCTGAGGCCCCATCGGCTGCTGTAACAGAAATACCGCAAGGCTGTGGCGGTAACAATTAGAAATTTATTCTTTACAGTTCAAGAAGCTGAACCCAAACCAAACCCACTGCCGTCAGGTCAATTCGGACTCCTAGTGACCCTGTAGGACAGAGCAAAACTGCCCCGTGGGGTTTCCAAGGTTGTCAATCTTTACACAAGTCTTTCTCCCACAGAGCAGCTGGTGGGTTCAAACCACCAACCTTTTCATTAGCAACCAAACGTCTTAACCCCTGCACCACCAGAGCTTCTGGTTTAGGAGGCTGGAGTTCCACCAGCTGCTCCAAGGAACAGCGATAAGGCACTCTGCTTCCGTAAAGATGTGCAGCCTTGGAAACCCTGTAGGGGTCACTGTGTCGGAATTGACTTGATGGGAGTGACTTTGGCTTTGCTGCCTCGAAAACCCAAAGAGGGGTTGCTATGAGTTGGGTCTGACTTGACGGCACATAACAACAACAACAACCAGTGGAAGGCTCTTTCTGTCAGCTCTGGGAGGAGCTCCTTGTCTCAGCTCCTCTCCCTCGGTCCCTTGGCAATATTCACATGGCCTCCATCTACCCCTCCAACGGTGCTTTCTTACTTTAGTGCCTAATCTTTTACAGCTCAAGAGTGATTGGTTTCAGATAACTCTACACTGCTATGGGTCCATTAACATGACAAAGAAAACCCAATTCCCAACTGAGATGACATCCACAGATGTAAGAAAAGCCAAACCCACTCCCATCCATAGATTCTGATTCCTGGGTTTCCAAAGCAGTAAATCTTTATGGAAGTAGATTGCCCAGTCTTCCTTCCAGGGAGTGGCTGGTGGGTTTGAACCACCAGCCTCCTGGTTAGCAGTCAGTTGCCTTAGGCACTATGCTACCAGAGCTCCTTATCAGCAGATGTTGGGGTTAGGATTTACAACACATATTTTTTGGGGGGGCACATTCAATTCACAGCGGGGACCCACAGCCCCTTTCCCATGTTCGAGGCACCAGCAACCTGGGTTGGCTCCGTGGCTGCGTTACTGCTCCGGTCACCCAATCCCAACTCAAAATTCCCGGGAGTGACTCAGCAGCGCCTCCTGCTACCACCCCAGTGCGGGAGGAATACAGTTTCATGTTAGCAGAGCAGCTGGTTCCCACGGCTTCTGGCCTTCTGTGTGGCTGGAGCCCTGCGGCAATCTCCCCCCAGTGTCCTGGTGGGTTGGGTTCTAGGCCAGACCAAGTGTGAGTCCCCATTCCACCCTGACGGGAGCAGAGGGGATTCCTGGGCCAGGCTCAGCCTGAGGCAGAGGAATAGGATCTCTGGGCTCTGGGCCAGCCAGAGCCCCCATCCCAAGCTCCTCCCCTCCAGCAAGTCAGCTGAGCCCCAAGCCTTCCTTCTTGCTCCTCCAGTGCATCTGCTGCTTGGAGGTGGCCTCGGGGTACAATCCACCAAACTTCCATCTCTCCCTCCTAACAGTTGGCCTCCATGGGGGGGGGGGGGCGCCATTTTCGTGCTGAGGGCTCAAAATGGGGGTCTGGGCACGAAAGGGGCCAAAGGCATGGAAGGCTGTCACCTTTGCAGAACTGGGGGCTTCCAAGTGGGAGAGTCCACCCCAAGGAGGCCGGTCAGGCACTGTTCGTGAGCCGTCCCTAGGTCAAAGGGAATTCAAGAGAGAACCGCAGAAGAGTTTGGCAGAAAGACCATGTGGCATTCCCGAGACGCTGCAGGCAGCCCACCTGTGCAAACCCCCTTCTCTTCCCACAGTGCTGCCACTGGGGTGAGGCCTTCGGGCCCGTCACTCGAAGGGGTGCTTCCAGAAAGCCCAGACTTGGTGGGACTCCGGGGGAAGCACAAAACAAAACAAAAAACCCATTGCTATTGAGTCAATGCCAACTCACCACAACCCCCATTGGGTCTCCAAGGCTGTAAATCTTTATGGAAGTCAATTGCCTCATCTTCCTCCCACAGGGCAGCTGGCGGCTTGAACCACCAACCTTCTGATTAGCAACCAAATGCCTTCCCCACTATGCCACAGCAGCTTTTTAACACTTCAGGCCAGTTACTCAGAGAGCAGCAGCATTTTTCCGGGGGTTTCATTTGCTCCTCACAAGCATTTCAGTTGCTGCTCTGTCTGTGCCAGGCTCTGGGGGTAGCTGGGCAGGCAGCCAGGCAGGCCCATCACAGTGTGATATGGTAACAACAGAGGCTAGGCCATGCCCTCATGCCCTGGGACCACACTGAGGAGGTGTCCTGGCTGGCTGTGAGGGCATGGCCGAGGGCTGCAGGATGCAAGGGGCAGCAAGGGGGCAGATGAGACCAGCAAGGCAGAGGGGGCCTTGAATGCCATGCCAGGGAGTTTGGTTTTGGAAAGGAAGGTGTCAGGGAGTCAGTGCTCGCCTGAAATGGGAGCTGAGCTGATCGGTTTTAGGCAGATCACTCTGAGGCTGGGAGAGGATAGATTGGAGGGGAAATGAGACTAGGAGCCTCATTTTTGAGAGAGAATTGGGGGAGAGAGGCTGAGCTGGGCCAGGGCAGCAGAGTAGGAGAGAGGAACAGGGTGGGCTTGTGAGCAATGGAGAAGGATCAATAGACTGGAAGGCTGGAGAAGGAAGGTTTGGTGGGATCTCTGGCTTGATGCGTGAAGGAGAGTTAAGCGCCTACTGGACCCACTTGGATAGATAGCTCCAC